CTGGGTAGCTGACTGAAGATGACCCTGAACTTTTGATCTTCCTTCTCCCACCTCTCTAGTGCTAGGCTTATAGGCTTGCACCTACATGCCTGGTTTTATACAGTGCTAGGGACTGAATTGAGTGCTTCATGCATAGAAGGCAAGTACTCTACCTCCTGTGCTTCATTACCAGCTCCTAAAAACAATGATTAAAATGCATTTCATTACTGTTGCAATGGGCACACAACCGAGGTACTGCAACAAGCCAGTGTATGACTGTTTGGGGGGCTTTCAAATAACTGATGTATGGTGAAAATTGAGCTATAATAGGGCAGCTATGAGCTACCCATGGCTATTGTGCTCCTGGAGAACTGGAAAATCACCTTGGTGCTTGAGTGAGCTGGCCTGGGGTGAGAGATGCATCTAAGCACCTACCCAAACAAAGAACCAGAGACCAGAAGAAAGGTTAAGGGAGCTTCATTTAGTTATTTTGTTTTATAGTTTTTTTGAGATGGGTTCTTGCTGTGTAGCACAGGCTAGCCTTGAACCCACCATTTACCACAGGTTCTTGCTATGTAGCACAGGGGCCTTGAACTGGAAACAGTTCTCTCCCTCAGTTTTCCAAGTGCTGAGATGGCAAGTATGAACCATCACATCCAGCTTGAACAGGCTTCTAATGAAACCAGAATATTAGGAAAGGCTAACACACCTTGCAAAGGGCATGGATGGGGGTGGGGATGACAGGACAAAAGCTGGAGTCTGTTCACTGAAGCTTTTATTGGGATGGGCATGAAAATTGTGTTCTGCCCAGCATAACATGAGCCTTGGGTATGAAAATCACACTCTACCTCCCTGGGTCAACAGAGGAATAAACAACTGCATTCCATTGCTGTTGGTTTTTATTTTGTAGCCAGTTAAAGGTTGTTCTGTGTGGGTCAAGAAACAGGATGGGTGTTTAATATAGAAGATAGCTAACTGAATTTATTATCCTGACTTGATCTTTTAGCTTTTGTTGCTTTATACAGGAAGGAAAGAAAATTTACCTTTTAGCATTTGTTTACCTTCTAGCTTTAGGCCAAGGAAAGATAGCTGATTATATTTAGTGTGGTTTACCCCTTAGCTTGTGGCCAGTTTAAGGCCCTCAGCTACTCTTCTGGTTCATTTTAACTAAGCAGTGACAAGCAGTTTGAGCAATGCGTAACATGTTAGCATTCAAAAATTTTGGATTGCCTCTTGGAGGATCTGCCTCCTTACCTATCCTAACAACTGAGCATTCAAAATGTGGCTTAAGGGGGTGGGGGTGTATTTCAGGGGTAAAGCTTGCCTAGCATCTAGAGTTCAATCCCCAATGTGTGGGGTGGTGACCTGGGACTAATGACAATGCAGGATATACTGCTTTTTGAAAAATTTATTTTATATATATATTTTTTTATTTTATGTATATGTGTATTGCCTGCATGTATGTAAGTGCACCTGTGTCGTGCAATGCCTACAGAGGGAAGAAGAGGTTGTTGGATCCCCTGGAACTGAAGTTACAGATAGTTGTTGGCTGTGGGATTCGAACCCAGGTCTTCTGCAAGAACAGCCAGTGCTCTTAACTGCTGAGCCATCTCTCCAGCCCTGGATATACCACTTAGAAAAAAAATGAAATGTTAAGGAGCTGGGGCAATGGTACAGTGGTAGGGTGCTTGCCTACCACTCAGGCACAAAGCCCTGAGTTCAAACCCTAGCACCCTGTCCCACCCAAATGATAAAATATGTGCTATAAATAAAAAAATCTATGAGATTTCAAAGAGTATGGGAAAAATGATGCAAAATATTTATTTTAAAAAATTTTGTGTATGAGTGTTTTGCCTGCAGGCACATAAGTATACCAAGTGCATACAGTGCCTGTGAAGGTCAGAAGAGAGCATTAGATCCCCTGGAATTGGAATTGTAGACGGCTGTTAGCTGTCAAGTAGGCGCTGGGAACTGAACTGGCATTCTCTGTAAAAGGAGCCAGTGCTCTTAACAGCTGAGATATCTCTTTAGCCCCAGATGTGGAATATTTCATTAATATTTCTGAATGCAAAAAAAAATGTGTTGAAATGTATTTTGAGTTTTATTGGGTCAAATATAAAATATTAATGTTAATTTTATCTGTTTCTTTTTACTTTGCTAAATGTGGTTATTAGAAAATTTTGAGTTGCGTATGTGGCTCATATTAAATTTCTATTGGCAAGCTCTAGTTAGAGTATGAAATGCTTTTTAATTTTGTTTGTTCTTGTTGTTTTTTGAGACAGGGTCACCCTGTAACCTCAGCTGGCCTGAAACTCACTATCTAGTAACTGGGATTTCAAGTTTATACCAACAGGTCCAGTGAGACCCTGTCTCTAAATAAACAAATACATACATACATACAAGGACTTAAGTGTTTTCTTAAAATTCTTTTATATAATATCTTTCATTAGTATAATTCTGAATGCTGATTTATGCACACTAAAACAGTGAATCCACTAAGGCTAATGATTATAGCAAACACTTAACTATCACTAACTGTGTACTAGATATTACTGTCTGGTATTTCATAAACATTGGCGCATGGGCTCCTTTAATCCTCATAGCAACCCTACATGGAGGTCTTATTTTGTTCATCTTACAGGTAAGGACATCCAGGCAGAAAGTGCATTTGCCCCGAGGCAGGGACCAGGGGCTTTATTTCTGAATTTCTAGCATCTAGAATAATACTAAGTCATAACAAATGAATCCATCAACAAGCATTCATTGAGTAATTGCTTACAACAAACTTGTGAGCAGTTCCACCAGCTAGCAGTCCTAAAGAAAGAGCTCACTGTCTGCTTTCTCTACCAATGCAATTTTTTTAAATCTTAGCAAAGAGAAACTTTTTAGGCAGAGGAAGGAGAAGCTACTATTACAACATGGAAAATACTCTAAGATCCAAGTTGTCTCCCTCCATCTGTGCTTATCTTTTAAATACTCATCAAAGGCAGGAGTGATGGTTCAGTGGGTACTTACCACCTAGCCTGAGGACCCAAGCTTGATTCCTGAGACCTGTACAGTGGAAGGAGAACACCTACTCCTGCTAGCTGTTCTCCGACCTGTCGGGAGCTGCTAATCATTGAGCTGTGTCAGGCTTGTTTACTGAGTGTGTGTTATGCACACCAGTATCTAATCTGCCTTATTAGGAGGAATATGTTTATATGGAGAGCCTCACAATACCTGACCTTGAGGCAATAGTGGTATACAAAAAGATTGAGGAAGCCTTTGATCTGACCGCTCTCTGACCCTCAGATACAGGTGGGGAAATAGAGCAATTGTAACTAACTGAGTTCTTCTGTATAAAAAGACAGAACTGAAATAAATCGAGGCTGCTGCAGTATTCACTGTGAGCCCTCCCAAGCATCTTTTCTGTCTCCTTTCCTTTCTTTCAATCCTCACTCCCCCTTTCAGGTACTGTCCGTTTTGGCCGGCTGGCACCGGCACCGACCCACACAGGTCCATGGACCAAGTGTGCCCCCCACACATACACACATAAAATAAATAAATAAATAATAAATAAATAAAATAAAAGATGGCCAATGCCATCCTTCTGTCTCCTCAGCCTCTAAAATAGTGGTCACTGTCACCACAGCTTCTCTCTTATGTGAAGGGTGAGTGGTGCTTAGAGAAGAGTGGGTGAGCTGGATGTGGGTGGAATATGTCTGTAATCTTACCACTTTTGAAGACTGAGGCAGGAGGATTACCATTTCAAGTTCATGGCCAGCCTTGGCTACAGAGTAAATTCCAGGCCAATGAAACTGTCAAAACTATAAAAAAGAAGGTCTAGGGACATAGATGAGCTTGTAGAGTGCTTGCCTACAGCAAGCATAGAGCCCTGGGTTCTTCCTGAGAATCACAGTAAGGCTGTAATCCCAGAGCCCAGGAGACAGAGACTCAAGAAGGTCAAGGTCAGAGCTGGAGCAATAGCTCAGCAGTTTAAGAGCACTGGCTACTCTTGTAGAGGACCTGGGTTCAGTTCCCGCCACCCACATGGCAGATAACAGCCATCTGTAACTCCAGTTCCAGGGGATCCAATGCCCTCTTCTGGCTTCTCTGGGCATTCATGCATGTGGTGCACTTGCACACATGCAAGCAAAACACTCATACACATAGAATGAAAGTAAGTAAATTAAAAAACAACAAAGGATCAGGGCTGGAAAGATGGCACAGCAGTTAAGGGCACTTACTGCTTTTGCTGAGGACCTGAGTTCAGTTCCCAGCATCCACATGGTAGCTCACAACTGTCTGTAACTCCAGTTCCAAGGATCCGATGCCCTCTTTTGGCTTCTGTGGGCACTGCACATACATGGTGCACTTACATAGAAGCAAGTAGAATACTTATACATATAAAATAAAAATAAATGAAAAAAAATTTAAGTTCAAGGTCAGCCTTTGCTGCATGAGGAATTCAAAGCCAGCCTGAGCTACAAGAGATCTTCACTTTAAAAAAGATAAAAGAAGAATGGAGGAGAAACTGAGGCCAACAATGAATTCTGATTTAAAAGTAAATTTAAAACTAAGTATTGGGCTGGGTGTGGTGGCACACACATTTAATCCCAGCACTCAGGAGGCAGAGGCAGGTGGAGCTTTGTGAGATCGAGGCCAGCCTGGTCTACATGGGGAGTTCCAGGCCAGCTGGGAGACCCTGTCTCAAAAAACACACAAGTATGTGTGGAAGGGAAATTGAGGGAGGCCTAAAAGTCACTAAAGAGTGAAAGGGACCTTAAGGATCAGAAGTGGAGAGCAGCTCTTGGAAGCTCAATAATTGCTTCCTGCCTGCACAGTAGGAAGGGGCGGTGACTCAGCCCCGCCCACAGAGTTCACTGTAGAGGAACGACATCTGACATCAGCGGTGCTGCAGACAGACAGAATGGAACCAACGCTGTGTCCTCACCCTGTCTGCCTCCTCACAGGGCTGCGGTGGCGTGTGGTGAGGATCCCCGCTGCATTTTCAGCCTGGCAGAGCGGCAGGCAAGACTCACCTGTAGGTGTATGGCCCCACTTCTTCTAGCCGGGGAATTTCTCCGCTGAGGATCTCCTCTGGATTGGTGACATTGAAGAAATAGAACTGGGTGTACACAGGCAGAGGGGGCTTCTCCCAGGAGTCAAAGATCTCAGTGCCATTTCTTAACACCATATTCTGGGGAGGGAAAAACAACAACAAAACAGGTTTACAAAAAGATAAGGCCACTGGCTCTGAACTGAGACAATCTCTATCCTAGAGCCGTCATTTTAATGCAGAAGTCCCAGTTCCAGAGAGCCCAACAAGCTGGTCTCCACCACCTGTCCTGATAGAGGAATTAAAGAGAAGAGTAACTGAAAAGCAGAGATTAAATCAGCGCTCTGAACAAAGAGGAACAGATAAAGGAGTCCAGCGACCCCGAGTTCATCTCTGGATACTGATAGAGCTTTAGTTTTCTGCCTTGGTTTTGAAGCAGGGTCTTACTTTGTGGTCCAGGTTGGCTTGAAACTTTTTATTGTAGCCCAGGCGGGCTTTCTGAGGCAGTCCTCCAGTCTAAGTCTCCCCAGTGCTGGGATTACAGACATGCACCATCATGCCTGATAAGTTTTAAGTTTAAATAGAGGAAGAATCTTTGTCTCAAATATAATCCTGGCCTGTGATTCAGTAAGTTGATAAATACCTGCAGTCAGAGCCTGAGAGGACCAAGATGGTTCCTAACAAGATGATCTGCTCTGGGATATAGCCGCTCCATCACATAATTGTTTTCATCTTGGGAGTGGTCAGTCTTGAAGGGGATGAGCTACAGGTAGATAGACAGATGCTCCTTAATGATTCTCATGCCTGTGCAGAGTCAGTGGGGGTCTAACCAGAAGTAGAGAAGGCACAAAATGCAGGCATAGCTGCAGGCTTTTATCCTGCTTCTGGTTGCCTTGTGGACCCAAGTCAATGCTTATTACCAAAAGCAGCTTCTGGATGCCTCTTAAATTCTGTCTTCCTAGCTTGCTTATTTTAATTATCTTATGGGTATCAACTGCAATCTCTTGGGAACAGGGTCATATCTTACACAATCAGGACCACTGCCCTATTAAGCCACAGGTGTTCAATAAATATTTGCTCTATCAGAAGGATATTACAGAAGAGCTTATGGATGGGAATGTGGTATAGCAAAACCAAAGGCCCTATTGGCTTTGGAAATTTTGAAGATTCTACTGGTAGCACCAAGCTATAGAATTACTGAAAAGTACCATATACTTCCAGCTAGGTGGAAGGAGACAGACAAGACCAGCTTTGGTCCTTCCATATGCAATGGAGTCATATTCATCCCTACTAACTCCACCACTAGGGGATATAACAATATGCAATTTTATAGTCAATTCCCCACAAATTTATAGAGTTGACTATCTCTGGGTCAAAAACAAACTGAATTTAGTGACTATGGTAGACATCTCCTTTGCCCAGGATCCTTCTTTCACTTCCTACTTCTATCAAGGCATTATGGACTAATATCTCTCACATCCCAAATTCATATTTTAAGTCCTGACTCCCAATATCTCAACACGTAAGCATATTTGGAGACTGTGTTTTTAAAGAGTGGTAACTGAGGTTAAATAAAGTCATGAGACTGGTATCCTTATAAGAACAAGAAACTAGGGACGGAGGTACCCTGTATGGGTAGATAAAACTGTTCCCAGGGGCCATAGGTTACTAATGCCAGTGCCAGGGGTGGGCTAGTTCCCTATTAGTCACTGGTTAGAGAGGAGGCTCCCAAAACAATACAAAAGCAATCATTATTGCTATTGGTTGCCCATTAGAGCTCAATGGTAAGAGTCTATTGCTGGAGATGCCACATGGCTTGGTCACAGTACACAGAGAAATCAAGCTGGGACTGAGCTGGAAGCTTCCTCACTGTCAGCCCTCACAGTGCCTGAAGGTATTATGCAGGATGCTGAGGGAGAATTGTAATTAACAGTCTTACTCAGCTGTGGTCCCGGCATGCTAAACTACTGACTGGCCAGGTAAAATGTGCCCACTAACGCAACAATGGCAAGCCTGTTATGGGGGTAATCAATCACTTCCAATCCAATTCTGATTGAATTTGAGGCCTGTTCCACAGGAGGGAATTCGTTCGTGTCTGATACTATAAAACCCCATGGCTAGCGAGGTTGTAGGCCCTAGTGGAGAAGCAGCTGCTATTGTTTTGCTAATGATATGATATACTGGTCAAACGGCCTTCTGAATAATTATGTTTATGCTCATAGATTAGTGCTGGTGTCGGCTTTAGTCAGAAGTTTCTTTGTGCCATGGGCTGTGACTCATAACTGTGATCAAGTGATCTTTGAATGCTCAGCCATAAATGGAGTACCTGTACCACCCCCTCTAAGGCTCAAGGAACATTATGGAAGAAGTGGAAAGAAGGTAAGTGCCAGAGGAAAGGAACACTGTCTTCTAGGCATAACATGGCCACTGCTTGAACTCATAGCAGCTGTGATTACCTCCATAAAGCCCATCAATATTGTGCCATGGAGGAGGAGGAAGGGGATCACAAGACCCCACCCTTCCTTGAAGGTCTATAAGCAGTTAACAGGAGGGAGAAACACCTTCTTCAGCGGTGTAGTCGCTGGTAAGGTATTACAGGAAGTGGATATGCAGCTAAAGCGGACCTTGAATTCCAGAGCCTTTCTATCTCTACCACACAATTTTGTTATTTATTTTGTTTGTTTGGACAGAGTCTTGTTATGTAGCCCCAAAGAGAGCCCCTGCTGGGCATGCAGGTCTCCTACCACTCACTGTACTCCCAGCTATGGCAAGAGGCAAGTTCCAGCCTGGGCTACAGAGTGAGACCCTGTCTTTCTACCCAAAAAAGTCCAAGAGTAGAGGTCTCTGAAACTCTTCAGGCAGCACTGAACTGCCTCCTGCTACCACCAGAGGGATTAACGCTGTGGGCCGCTGAGCCCAGCTCTAACCCAAGCATTTTCATAGTGAAACTTACTGAGGCACACAAGAAAAATAAAAGGAGAAATGAAAAGCAAATGAAAACGACTGAAGTGTGGAAAAAATACTAAAAACTAATTAAAACGATAAAGACAAAATGCGAACCCTGGTTAACTCATGTTGAGTTGGTTCACTGTTTTCTTCTTGATGAGATTTATACTTTCTAACTTATAAGGAGTAGAAAAAATTTAAAAATTCGGCAGTGGTGAGGGAGGGGCGAGACAAGGTCTTATGTAGTTCAGGCTGACCTAAAACTCATTATGTAGTTGAGGCTGGGCTTGAACTCCTGATCTTCCTGCCACTGCCTCCTAAGTGCTCAGATTGTGCCACCCACCTAACTGAAATTATTGAGAAAAAAATTTTAAAGAAACGCAAGAGGGTCAGCAAGATAGCTCAGTGGAAAAGTACTTGCCTCAAAGCTTATAGACCTGAGTTCCACCTTCAAACTCTATGTAAAGATGGAAGGAGAGAAGTGACTTTACAAAGTTGTCCTCTGACCATTACATGAGTGCCATGGCACATGTGCACCTCTCATCATAATAATATATAAGTTAAAAAGTATTTTAGCCCAATGTGGTAGTGCACACTCTTTAATCCCAGCACTCAGAAGGCAAAGTCAGGCAGTTCTCTGTAAGTCCAAGATTGGCCTAGTCTACGTAACAAGTTCCAGGCTAGCTAGGGCTACAGGGAGACCCTAACTCAAAAACACAACAAATAATAATAATTTTTTTAAAGAAAATCAAACCAGAGGTCTACTGATATAACATCAGTCTGACTATGAAACAAGAGGAACCAGACTTCAGGCCAAGCAGCCCAGAGGTTCCTGTCATTCCTCTGGCAACGAAACTCTGAACAACAATAAACGAAGGGATCGACTTTCTAAAGTGTACTGTGACACTGTACATAACAGGAGGTCAAGTTTAAGCCACCCAGGCCTTTGATTTAATGTAATGTTACAAGAGAACATAATGACATAGTTCTAGTATTAAGTCAAAACTATTCTAAGAATTTTTGCAAAAAAAAAAAAAAAAGACTGTTGAACAAATGAACAGAGGAAATAAAGCAAGTCCAGGCTGGGCTAGGTGCTTTGAGAGAATGCCTGGAGGGCTGGGCACATTCATACCTCTAGGTGGCCATGTTGAAAGGGTGAACATCACTGTCAGTCTGCCTCAGGTCAAAATGTTGGTCCAACCACCAAGTTTCTATCTAAGCAATTCCTTGGTAATTCAGTGAATTGAGAGCAGATTGAAGGAATAGAAACATTCAGAAACAAATCATGAGATCTCCTGGGTTCCCCCAACTTCCAAGATCCTACCCAAGACTCTTTGGCAAGTCTTCCCACCTCCTCCCCAAATCCTCACTGCTCCCTGCCCTAGATACAGGGCTTACTCAGCCACTGTAGGCAGTTATTGGTAAGCTTTGTGATTCAAAATGTTTATTTTTATTTTATGTGTATGAGTGTTTTGCCTGCATGAATGCAGGTGGACCTGGGAACCCAATGCCTGAAGAGGCAAGAACAGGGCGTTGGATCCCCTGGAGCTACAGACCATGTTAGTCACCATGTAGGTGCTGGGAACTGAATCTGCATCCTTTGCAAGAGTGCTCTTAACCACTGAGCCATCTCTCCAACCCTAACTTTGTGATTCTTTTAAAATCTCCCTATGGTTCTGGGGATTAAACCCAGGACCCTATGTATGTTAGGTAACTGCTCTACTACTAAACCATATCTCTAGTCCTTAAAACATTTGTTTTAATTATTATTTTGAAACACTAAGTGATCCAGGCTGGCCTTGAATCAACTCAGTAGCCTCAGCTGACTTCAGCCTCCTCAGTACTGGATTTATAGACTTGGCTATGATCCATCTTTTTGTTAATCTTATCTCCCAAACACAAGCTTAACTGTCCTAGCGGAGTTTAAACTCATAGTGTAAGAAAACAACGCAACTGAAAAGGCCTTCAAGGCTGACAAGATGGTCAGGCAGCGGAAGAGTAAAAGCTTTTCTCTACCTAGGTCACAGCTGAATTTGATTTCTTTTTTTCTTAGACAAGGTCTCATTACGTACCTCTAGCTGGCCTTGAAGTCAGAGACCTGCCTGCTTCTGCCTGCCTATGCCTGCCAAGTCCTGGGACTAAAGGCATGTACTACCACGCCCTGCCAATAGCTGGATTTGGAATTTTTCCCACTC